CGAGTTTGGACTCTGATCTTTTACATTTTACAAAGACAATATGTCTTTGAAATTGAGCCAAAAATAAGTCTTGGACTTATCCAAAAGGAACCTAACATACTTAGTTAAACGTGGCTCATTCTTATGAGTCATTAATGACTTTACACGTTCCTTAACATGCAAGCTCATATGACTTTGAGTCATATGTTGAATGGTGGCATATTGCCACGTGAGGAGTAGGGGTGGGATATTTAATTAATTATTTATCCATTTATTAGTTAACCGGTTACCTGGTAATTAATCAATTACCCGCTTAATTTAAAAATTACCACAAATTACTTAAAATTCTATTTATTTTTAAAATACTTCATATATACTTTATATATTATACTACCGTGGTCATATGGTACCTTGCATGGTACTAGTTCATAATTATTGGGTATTATCGCTCGACCCGTATTTTATTCCAAATTGACCACTCTCAACGAAACTCGTTTTATTTAATCAAGTGTACCCTCTTATTCTTCATAACACTTATTTATTGCTTGTTATAAATAGCGTAAGTACGTTAACGTCAAGATGATCTCATCCCCGAGTCTTACATCGGTTAAACGAAAACAAAATATTAACGTACAATACTTCAGGGTGCAACATCGTCGTAACTTAATACTGGAAAACGTGACATCACCATAATGTAGCACTTCGGGATGTGACATCTCACTTTCGGGTTCTCATTAATTTATTTATGGCGTATTTTCATGTACGAAAATATGGGGTCTAACAGTATTTATAGTTAAAAATAGGGCCAAAGTATATTTTAATAAACTTAGGGATTAAATTAAAAGTTGGGGAAGGGATGGGGGATAGGGACCATTTTTGGTCGTTTTTAGCCATTGTCAACGGCTATTTTTGAAAATACAACCTTTGGTCAATGTCTCTTATTTTAAAAAAAAAATCGCGGGCCACCGGGGCGTTACCGGGCCAGCCCACCGGGACAAAATGGGTGACCCATCCCATCCCTCGTCCCTTTAACCCCATATCCCATCCAACTTAAACTTTGAGGGCCGGGACCGAGATGGGCCTGGTCATCCCGTCCCATTGGACAGGCTTAGCTGGCAGGGGTATTTTAAGTTCAAATTTCGGGATTTAGCTTATTTTTATCATTTTTTTAGTTTTGAAGAACGAGAGGAGGAGATTTTGAAGAGGTATTTCACCATAATAATGAGGATAAGTAATTTTTAATTGAATATGATCATATATATTGATTTCTCATGGATTTCTACACCTAAAATATGGAATTTAAGAATGAAATTTGGGAAGATTTTTTACAGCTTAAGAGAGTGAAATTTGAGATTCTGGACATCAATTTGACTTGGATTGGGAACTAATAACATATTTATACTTATGGGGTTATGGGTCAACTAGATCTAGTCCTAGACTCGGATTTTGTCCATGTGGGCCCGACTTAACTTTTATTGATTTTTCGAGATTTGATTAAAGATTGAAACTTTATTGTTTAGAAGTAATTAATATGATTTTATTTGACCTTATTAAGTATTATTTGACTAGATTTGAGCCGGTTGAAAGAGATTTCCAAAGAAAAAGCGGGTGCGGAAGGTTAAAGCAATCCGCCGAAGAGGTAAGTCTCTTGGCTATCTTTGTTAAGAGGCAATTCACCTAAAATGGACCGGATTGCTATGTGTTACTTGAGTTAGAGGTAGTGTATATGTGAGGTGACGAGCGTATATATGCATACCAAGTTTATATCATGATTGGGGTAGTCTTAGACTTCTTTACCCTTTTTGATTATGTACCCTTCATGACACATGCTTTACTTGATTGTGTGACTACGTGGGCTTTATATTGATGTTATCATGTATAAGCTCATGGTTCCTTATTTGGACATGATGACGCATTCTTGATATATAGCTATTTTGCTTTAGCCGTTATTATACTTCATTGTCATGAACATAAATTTACATATTTATTTATATGTCCTTGTGCACCATACATACAGTATCTCATACATAAATGTATATATCTCTGCATATGGATACAATTATATGAGCTAAATTAGGGAATGGTGGTATATTCTGTGCGGATTGATATAATTATGGTACTGCAAGATACTTTGGTACATTGAGATATATGAGCATATTGATGACTAATTTTAAGCTATTGAGTATTATGCTGGATTTGATTGCACGCCACAATGATAGCTTTTGGATGTATATCCATCCCTTAGGAGTCAAGTGATTACCCATGTTATATTGGGCCCTATGAGCGCAAGCACATAGAGTTGTTCTTAGTGAAGGGCATTTATACCAGGCATCCGTATAGTGCTGAGCGCGCTAGTGCTAGACAAACAAGGTGTACTGAGTGTGTGTGGATTGGTATTGAATCTGTGAAAAGATTGAGTTTTGAGCATGTATATATATCGTGCAACTAGGTAGGAGCATTCCTTTACTTGCTATTTCATGCACATTGTTATCTTATGTGAACTCAGTGAAAGAATTTTGCTTTGATCATTATATCTGAGAGGCATGCTTATTATCTTCTTTGATTATAATTCATATTACTGATACTCATTGTTTCGAATATGCTCCTTCTCTTTATTTGCACTTACTGATTATTTGATTATGGAAGTAGGTTATCTTATTGGTCAAATCTTCATCACTACTTCTTCGAGGTTAGACTTGAACTTACTGAGGACATTAGGTCGGTTGTACTCATACTAATCTTCTCACTTCTTGTACTGATTCAAGTGTTGGTCACACTGGAGTTCAAGAAGGTGTTTAGCTGTTAATTTGGAGACTCAAGATGGTTCTATATATCCGTTCTCAGACCCTTGGAGTTGCCTTCCTCTATTTGATTATTACTGTTCATCCATTCAGACAATATTGTAAATTTATTCTAGACCGTTGTATTTTATTACTCTTAGAAGTTCATGTAGTCAGTGACACTAGATCTGGAAATGTAGTGTTATATTGTGCTTTGTTATAAGACAGCCTTATCTATGATAATACTGAACTTTTTTAGATTTATTATATCTATGCTAATGTCTTTGATTAATGTTTGAGATTGTTGGTTTGTCTAGCCAATATGTTAGAAGCCATCATAATCATTGGTAGGTTTTGGATTGTGACATATCCTTAGCATGGCCTAGTCATTTACAATAGCCATAAAAGGTCGGAACCTATTGGTGTTAGGACAATTGTTGTTGGGAGAATAATTAGTGCAGAAGTTGGCATTTCATGTGGTATTAACATGAAGGGAAGCGAATTCAACTTCTAGTTGGTTAAAAGGCCTCATTTCCTGTTGTCTCTCATCTTGTATCAACAAAGAGAAAGCATATACCATTGACGGTACATGATTCATCATAAGAATGCTCCCACGCACCACTGTATAAACCTTATTTAGCCTCATGAGAAATTGAATAAGCCACCTATCGTGTTCGGCTTTGTGTATTTTCTCCTTGGGCCTGCATGTACAACGACAATTGTATTGTATTTTCTTACTTAAAGTATTCAATTCTTCATAAAAGCTTCTTCAATTTAGTGTCATAGTTGTTGTTGTCAAGGATTCCCTGAGACAAATCATTTATTTCTCTGAATGTGATACAACCTAGTACCATTAGTTTGTTCATAGTGATCCTCCAATTCTATTCACAACTCGACAGATTTATTGACGTACTCTATATTGTCCGCAATATCTTTGAAAAAGTATTTAAAATTCATGAAGTTACCCTATCATCACATTGTTCCCAATGACGAAGCTAAGGAGATAGAGGATCTGGACGTTTACACTCGCCATTGATGAAACTTAATTTGTTCGATACAGATAAAGCTCGCAATACACTTGATCTTTAGGATTGATAGCCAATGCCATTGAAAGGCACTACAAAAAGTACAACAACCGGATAATCAGGCGAATGCAAATAGAGAGGATCACTCGGATCAACTCCGCTACTCGCAGCAACAACAACACTTGTATCAACAACAATCACATCCAGTTGATCAACATCAACCATGAGAAGAACAAAAAAAACAAAATTGATGAGGAGAAATAACTAATTGCATGAAGAAAAAGAAGAGTCGAACTCTGATATTGTGATGGAAGCAGAGAATCACCATCGCATTAATAGACCGAAATAGGCCAAGATGAAAGACGGAGAAGCGAGAAAACTTAGATGAGAGAGGAGGAATTAGGAGTTCCTGTGCTCTTATACCAAAAGTGCTTTCAGCTAATGAATGCTAAACAAGTAGAGAATATGCAAAAGTATTTTCTCACCTTTATCTTTATATAACATGAGCTGAAATGAATTGAACTCACCTGTTTTAGGTCTCTTTTTACTCTTCTATTTTTCACTAAATTTATCCTGGTCCTTAAGTTGTAACTTGTAAAAATGGTATTTTTTTCCTTTTCAAACGCACACGTTTTTTAAGATTTCTGGACGATATAGTGAAGAAAAAACTAATATTTCCATTTACCAAAGGTTTTAAGTTATATAAATGTATCATTTTTTTCTTTTTCTTTTTTTGTTGAAACTATTTGAATTTTAATCTTATAGTATCATTTTTACGAGATAACTATTAGTAATTTATAAAACAAAATTGCCTGTTATTACTTAACAAGTATCTTGATTCTGTTAAGGCGAAATGGCTTCCTGACCACTTAAACTTGTCGGATTTTTTAAAGTCGATACATAAACTTTCTATTTTTCCATTTGAACACTCGAACTCGTTTTTTCCATAACTAATAAACACATCTGACAAGAGACCATGTGCGCGTGTATTACGCATACACATACGTGTCCATCCAGTCAGCAAATGACCAATGGATGTCTTACACGTCAAGGGCGCGAAAACCCTAACTTTGGTCCCCTCTTTAATGCAAGCCTTTTGAATGAGCCTGATTTGATAAATCTGTGTGTTAGGAAAGATCTAAAGATTTGTTCACCTTGTGGGGTGAATTGTTCTAAAGGATTCTTCCCTTCTAGTTCTTGTACTAAAAATACAGACATGGTATGTACTCCTTGCTCTCTTTGCCAAAATAGCACTTGCTCGGATGTTTACGAACTCATGCCTCACGGAACGCTTCACGACCACCTTCACGGCGGTCTTTCTCGTCTGAGCTGGAACCTTAGGCTGAAGATTATGATGCAGGCTGCAAAGGGGCTCGAGTACCTTCACAAGGAAGTTTTTCCTCCTATTACGCACCGTGATGTGAAGAGTTCGAACATTCTCTTGGACGCTGATTGGGGAGCTCGTATTGCAGATTTTGGATTGCTTACACCTAATGGGAAGGATCTTAACGGAGATGTGACAACTGATGTCTATAACTTTGGGATCGTGCTTCTAGAGATTCTTAGTGGAAGAAAAGCTTATGACCAGGATTGCACACATCCAAGTATTATTATCTGTTAATCTTGTTCTGATCGAGCTCCGTTTGGTCCAAGTGATACAAAACTTAGCTTCAACTCTACAATGATAAAATATACAACTTTCCACCATTTTCACGGTCTGAAAAAATGAAAAAAAAATTGAAAATGGAGCTTCAGATTTTTAAAAATGGAGGAAGGGGGTACTTTAAAAGGAATAAATAAGAACACAATTAAACACAACCCATTTTGTACTGTTGGGCGTTGGGAAGGGGGGTTTTCACGCTCCTGTGCGTCGTGTTCCTCACGTGGACTGCTGATTAGGACCAACTGACGCCACATGGGCATGATCAATGGTCAAATGTATTTATTAGTTATGGAAAAAATAAGTTGCGAGTGTTCAAATGGGAAAGTTATAAGTTTATGTATCGGCTTTTAAAACTCCGTCAAATTTAAGTGGTCAGGAAACCATTTCGCTTTCTGATAATATTTTTATATTCTTTGCCAAATAGCCTCAAAAACTAGACTACAAAAAAAAAATGAAAATAGCAATATAGCACACATTTCCCATTGGTGAGGGTTTAAGGCTTTAAGCACAGCCATGGAAGAACCCGTCGAAAACCTCTGGCAAGAAGTTCGAGATCTAAGCCTAGGCTCCAGCACCCATATTGACCTCCTCTCTTCCCCACCCACCCCTCTCCAATTCCTCCGCGATTACGTCTCCCCCAACAAACCCTGCCTCATTTCCAACGCCATAAACCACTGGCCAGCCACCAATCTCTGGCATTCCACCCCTTATCTCCTCAATACTCTCTCTTCCTCCTCTGTTTCGCTTCATCTCACCCCTACAGGCAAAGCTGATGCACTTACCCCACACCCCACTACTTCCATTACTTGTTTCGCCTCTGCTAAAGTTCAACGTATCCCTTTTCCTGATGCTTTGACGCGGGTCTTAGAATCGGACCCAAATTGTGTGGGTTATCTACAGCAGCAGAATGATTGTTTTCGTAGTGAGTATGGGCCTTTGAGTCACGATTGTGACCTTGAGTTTACTTGGGCTTCTGAGGCTCTTGGGTGTTTGCCTGAAGCTGTGAACCTTTGGATTGGTAATGATTTGTCTGAAACTTCATTTCATAAGGATCATTATGAGAACATATATGCTGTTGTTTCTGGGGAGAAGCATTTTTTACTTCTTCCTCCTACTGATGTTCACAGGATGTATATTCGTCCGTATCCTGCTGCCAATTACCACTACTCCCAGGTTTCATATATTCTTTAATGTGCTCGTAAGTTATGTGCTTGAACTTTGGTTCAGTTTTTATGTGTGAAATTCTAGGAAATGAGTGCGTTCAGTGGCAAAGTTAGGAATTTAATTAAGGATGTTCAAAATTTTTGACCTATATATGCGGTATAATTTTCTACATACATAGTATAATTTTTAGACAAATGGTATATATGTGTCGATGGGTTTCCACAGAATTAGCAATTTTGTTCAACATTCTTTTCTTTCTTGTATTAATTTCTTATAAATATGTTGGGTTTTTATATATGAATGAGATGTTTGTTCCGATTATAGCACTTTGTGATGTATATGTGTTGATGGTTCGGCATGGAAGTTCAATTTGGTGGTCATTAATTTTTGGAGAACTTGAATTTCAGTATAATGTCCTGTTCTTTAACGTATTCATATGTTATGTANTGGGGTTGGGGGGGGGGGGGGGGATGGACCTAAAAAAAAGAGTATCATATAAAAAGGCACAGAAGAAATATGTGGTATATGTATATTGTGTTATAACAAGTAGCTTAGAAGATCAAGTGGCTTAAAGCAATCCTAATTGTAACCTTTATTCATTCTTGGAAATAGGAGAAAACTTACACCGTTACTCATAAATTAGCAATGTTATGGCGGTGTTATAGCAGTATCCCAATGTTCAGGTTCCTTTTTTTCTTTCATGTATTATGTACTTGTAGTTTTATTGGGTTTTCTGTATGAGTTGTAGGAGTCATTTGTAGTGTTTTGTGATGTATATGATGAGCTGCAATGGTTATAATTTGTTTCAGGAAACTTGAATTTCAGTACAATGTACTGTTATACTGTGCTGATATGTGTTCTGCTGCTTTCTGGTATTATAGGATACTGGGGAATTCTCTTTGGAACTGGAGGAACCAGTGAGATATGTGCCATGGTGCAGTGTTAATCCATACCCTTCACCTGAGTTGAAGGAGAAGGAAATGGCCCAGTTTCCCTTATATTTTGATGGACCAAAACCATTTGAAGTTACAGTCAAGGCGGGCGAGATTCTTTACTTGTAAGTTTCAGGAGTATCATTTACATTTTTTTCTCATTTAGTTTCAATGTTCCCCTCGCCAACACTAGGTCCAATCATTGATCTCTAGAATGCATTTTACATAGTTGGTAACCTTGATGTTTCTCAATGTAGCTTGAGCATTTGCCTCACTTTTCATCCCCCAGTCCAGAGAAAGAAAAAAAGTTCAGTGAGTCATCTCTTTGGGTGCTAGTTTAAGAGTTATTGCACATTATCTTTGCAATGCAAGGAAAAATCTAATGAAATAATTTCATTGCAAAAAAGTAATGTCATTTTTTTTATTGTTTTCGCCTTAAACTTTGATAGGAAGGTGTGGAGGTCGAGCATTAGGGTTGTAGGTTAGGAGGTAGTTGAGTCCAACGGTGAGGCTAGTTTGATAGGGTTCTTAGACTGATAGTGGTTAATGTTGTGTTCACACTATTCTTTCATTTTTCATAGCATCGAGCCTTATTTTCTGGTTTTGTTATTGCATTTCAACTATTTTCTACTTATACGATGTTGTTATTATTTCTTTGGTTTCTGTTTGATGGTACTGATATATTGTCCCTTCAAGTGTTGTGAAGAGCGTGAAGCGAGGAAAAGCAATAAGCCCCTTTTCGCTTAAAGCGAGAAGTGAAGTGCTTGTTTTTTTGAAGTGAAGCTATTTTAAAATAAATAAATACTGCATAGACAACACATGTAGTCTGTAAGCAAATGTTCAGTACTTCAATGTAAAAACTAAAGAGTAGCATCAATTAAAGCACAAAATGAGTATCCTATTCTTCTACAAGATTGTCAAATTCTTGTGTTCCACTATCATTATTATATTGCTCGTCATCTTCTTCAACTGCTTCTTCTTCATCAACTAGGGGCAAAGTAGCTGCTTCGTTTCCCTTGGGAGCTTGTAGTTGAAGTACTCCCCCTCAAACCATAAATCCTCTCCCCAATTCCACGTGCCTCCGCAACATCACCCCAAGTGCAATTAGAAGTTCCTCAAATACTTCTTCATCTGCATGATTTTTTGAGACCATGATCTTCTGGAACTCTAGTTATTCATTCATTAGCACATCGATGTTGTCCAAACTAATTGGATCAATTTTATTGCGAGTGTTGTAACGACGCCTCAATGTTCTTTGTACTTCATGAAGACTAGATCATTGAGACGCTTCAAGGTTAGTTTGTTCCTCTTTTTGGTATGAATATGCAAATAATAAATAATTAGTAAGATTAGGACAATTGAGATATAATTTAATTATCTCAATATACTAAATCTTTCTTCTTAGTTCTTACATGTTCAAATACGCTTCAATTCCTTTCACACCCGGATGAGCTACACGTTAGACTTGGAACTTTGACGGCAAACTTTTGTAATTTTGGAGTGGAATGACCATATTGCTTCCACCATTCAACTGTAGAAGTAGAACAAATATTCAAAACATAATATTTATAAAGAAATAACTTATTAACTATAAAGCAACATATAAGCACTCGCTCACCTGGAGACTTCATCTTTCTTTGTCTAATAGCCATGTTTTTTCCAAAAAGTTGCTCAGCATTCCTATAAGTACTAAATTGCTCTACAATTTTATCTTGCACGGATTCTTGTATCAACTTCTCAATACATTCAATGTGTTCATTCAACAATTTTTCATCTCCTATAATCCTCTCTTCATTGTCATAAAACAGTTCCAGGTTCAAAACAAGTCCAGCTGCATGCAAAGGGCGATGAATCTAATGTCCACCTTTTATCTATGATCTCAACGACGTTTTTTTTAATCACTAAAACAGTCTCGAATAGCCTCCTTGCCCTATCCATTGCTTCGTAAAAGTAGCTCATTGGTGGTCTTTGCTCCCCATCCACCAAACGAAGCACTTTAATTAAAGGACCACCAATCTTCAATGCATGAACCACGTTATTCCAGAATGCAGTAGAAAGCATAACATCTGCAGATTCTCTCCCTCGAGCTTCCCTTCCATAGGCACTATTAGTGTACTCATCTGAAACAAACAACTTCTTCAAATTGCTTTTTTGCTCATACATCCTATGCAAAGTCAAGAAAGTGGTAGCAAATCTTGTCTTTGCAGGTTTAACCAAGCTTCTTTGTTTAGTGAATCTCTTCGTCATATTCAATAGCAAAGGCCTTTGAGCAATATAAGAATGCACTCCAATTGCCTGATTAAAGACTGAACTGAAGGGTCTTTCCTTGAAAATGTCACTGAAGATCAAATTAATGCAATGTGCTGCACACGAAGTCCAATAAATATGCGGGTACGCTACAGACATCAAATCACCAGCTTTAACATTTTTACTGGCGTTGTCCGTAACAATTTGAACAACATTTTCTGCTCCAATAGAGTCTATTGTACTCTTGAACAAGGAGTACATTTTGGTTGAATCAGTAGAAGAGTTGCTTGCATCAATGGACTCAAGAAATAAGCTTCCTTAGGAGAATTCACCAAGATATTGATGATCATTTTTCCATTTCTTGTCGTCCACTTATCCATCATAATGGAACAACCAAACTAGTTCCATTCTGCTTTGTGCTCCTCCATGATTTTGTTAGCCTCTTCCACCTCCTTTTTTAGATATGGACCTCTAATTTCATGATAAGTTGGAGGTTTCATTCCTGGACCATATTGGTGTACGACCTCAATAATGTCTCCAAAAGTTAAAGCTTCTGCATGATGGGTCTGTGATGCTGGGCTCCTTTTCAATTGTGTCAACTAAATTGACACTTATAGAGACTTTATTGATATCGTTGGTCAATATGGACCTGGAATGAAGCCTCCCACTTATCATGAAATCAGAGGTCCTTATCTAAATAAAGAAGTGGATGCTCCATTATGATGGATAAGTGGACGACAAGAATTAGAAAAATGATTATTAATGTGTTGGTGAATTCTCTCAAGGGAAGTTTGTTTCTTGAGTCGATTAATGCTAGCGACGCGTCCACTAACCACATCAAAATGTTCACCTTGTTTCAGAACACCATTGAAAAGATTGTCCCAAGCAATGTTGTTCAAGTGGTCACTGATAATGCGAGTGAAAAATGTTAAAGCGGGTGGTATGGTGCAAGGAGCGTACCCAAATGTCTATTGAACTCCATGTGCGGCTCATTGTATCAACTTAATGTTCGGGGACATTTTCAAGGAAAAACCCTTCTCTACAATTTTTGGCCAGGGCGTTAGGATACATTCTTATATTGCTCAGCGACCCTTGTTATTGAATATGATGAGAAGATTCACCAAGCAAAAAATTTTGGTGAAACCGGGCAAGACAAGGTTCGCCACTGCTTTCTTGACTTTGCATAGTATCCACTTGCAAAAAGCCAATTTGAGAAAGTTGTTCATTTCAGAGGAATGGAACAAGAGTAAATTTGCAAAGGAAGCTGGGGGAAAGAATCTGCACGCATTATTCTTTTTGGAATAATGTCCTTCGTGCTCTTAAAATTGGTGGCCCTTTGATTAGAGTACTCCGTTGGTGGATGGGGAGCAAAAATCACCAATGGGCTACCTCTATGAAGCTATGGATAGGGCCAATGAGGTTATTCAAGCATCATTCGCTGGTGAGCAGAAATATGCAAAGGTCTTTTAGATCATTGATTCAAGATGGACGGAGCAACTTCATCGACCTTTGCATGAAGCTGGACTTATTCTGAACCCGTCACTATTTTATGATCAGTATGAGAATAATTCACTGGCTAAAAAAGTGTGGAAGGGATTCCACGAGTGTGATATTAAGTTGACCCAAGATGAAGAGTTGGAAGAAAAGATAGTAGATCAGTTTGCTATTTACAAGGCAGGTGAAGGACTTTTTAAGCTGCGACTGGCTATTAAACAAAGAAAGACGAAGTCGCAAGGTGATCGAGTGCTTCTATATTTTATAGTTCTAACTTTTAATGTATTTTTTATACTTATTAACTCTTCAATATGTTTTTCACTTTTATAGTTGAGTGGTGGGACCAATATGGTGCAGAGACTTCGGATTTTCAGACTTTCGCCATCAAAGTTCTAAGTTTAACTTATAGTTCATCCGAATGTGAAAGGAACTGGAGCATTTTTCAACACGTGAGAACTAAAAAGAATGATTTCGTGTTTTGAGATAAAGTAAATTATATCTCAATTGTCGTAACTCCTACTAGTTAGTCGACACATCTCGTTAGTAGATTCATACGAAGAAGAGGAATCGGCTAACCTTGAAGCGCCTCCATAATCTAGTGTTCATAAAATACAATAGAGCATTGAGACGTCGCTACAACCACCGCAATCTAATTGATCCAATTCTTTTGAACAATATTGATAAGGCTAGTGAGTGGCTAACCGGAGTCCCCGAAAATTGTGAAGATGAAGAAGTATTTGAAGGCGACTCTAATTTCACTTGGGGTGAAGTTGCGGAGGCTAGTGGAGTTGGGGAGAACCCTTATGGTTTAAGGGGAAATACTTCAAGTTCAAGCTCAAATAGGAAGAGAAAAAGTGTGGCTACTACATGTCAATCCCTAATTGATGAAGATGAAAGTGATTATGAAGAGGAAGAGGAAGAGGAAGAGAAGGGGGAAGGAGATGACGAGCAATATGAAGATAATAGAGAAATTCAAGATTTTGACAATCTTGAAGAAGAATAATTAGAGTAGAAGAATAAGATGTTGATTCTAGTAATTTAGTGGTTTTGATTTTGCTTGACGTATGGTTTATGGAGGATTTTGTGGTACCTACTTTTAAGTTTTTAAATTGAACTTTTTGATTATTTATATTGTCTCTTTGCAAGGTTTACATTATGTTTTTTAAGAATTGCGCTTCACTTCAATGAAGCGTGCACTTCGCTTTTGAAGCGAGGCGAGCCCTTGTCGCTTTTTTGCGCTTCTCGCTCTAAAAAATACTGGTCTTACCAGTAGATCCACAACTTGAAGACATTGTTTTTATCCTTCCCCGCTTTTGTGATTTTAATGGAAGCGACGAACCATCGTCACCTTCTTCTATTTCATCATCGTCATCATCAAGATTATGTAGTTGTTCTTGTTCATGATGTATTTGAGTTTTTAACTCTCTTTTTTTTTTTGAAGATATGCTTTCATTTCTTCCTTTACATGCGGCGGAACTTTAGGACAAGATGCGACATTTGGATCACCACCGATTAGATGAAATTTTTGACGATGGATTCCCCTATTCGAAATCTTATCACAAAAAAGACATCTAATTGCCATTTTGTTGGTCTTGTTAACTCTTACAGAATAAGCTCAAACCTGGTCTTTTCTATCTTCTTTTGGTGCCATTAAAAGAACAACTGAATAACACATAAAAAAGGCAATAAGAACAAAGAATAAATGATATGAAAAAAATGGTAGTAAGTATACCAAAAAAATGGCAGTAAGCCAGTAACTGAAACGAAAAAAATTGGGCAGCATTTCTCTGCAATTTAAGAGTGAAACAGTGAAAGAAAAAGAAGAAGAAGAGAATGAGAAAAAGAAGAACTGAACGGAAAAAAAAATTTAGCCAGCATTTTGCTGCTATTTTGAGACTGAAACATGGAAAGAAAAAGAAGAAAAAGAAGAGGAGGAGGAGGAGGTCGCGTACCTGCTTGAACTTGATAAACTTGAAGTTGAAAAGTGCAGAAAATGGGAACCTTAGTCGCCTGTTGTTCTCTGCTGCTCGATGGTCTTTTAAAAAAAGAGAGCCCTTTTAATTTAATAACGTTGGCAGCCGTTTATATGTAGAAGCGCTCGCTTCTGTCGCTTTTTTCGCTTTTACGCTTTCTTTTTTGGAGAAGCGCCCGCATTATATAACCTGCTACGCTTCACATCAGAGATGCGCCTGATGGTCCACTTCGCTTCGCGCTTTAAGCGCTAAAGCGAGCGCTTTTCACAACACCGGTCCCTTCTCTTCTTGTCTTTTCTGTCTTCTTGAGCCAAGGGTCTTTCAGAAACAGCCTCTATACTCCATCGGGGTTGGGGTAAGGTCTGCGTACACACTACCCTCCCCAGACCCCACTTTTGGGATTTCACTGGGTTGTTGTCGTTGTTTGTTGTTGTCTTAAGCTTTGGCTTTTGAGAATTTCCTCAAATTTTGCAAACTTTTGGTTTTGTCAACAAATTTATTTCTCATTCTAGTGTATTATTTTAAGAATTTTGAATTTCGTTTTTAACTAGCCCCTAAGTTTTTACTAGATATATTTGGGCTAGAATTCCAAAACTCAAACAATTAATTGATCTTACTTTATTCTCACTGCAATGAATAAACCCGATTAGCAAAATGGGATGGAGACAGTGCAATGTCTAGCTGAAGCTTGTACTGGCCACGGAGAGATAGGTAGCAAGGACAAACTCAATATGAATTGCTTGTGGACCTTTTTCATTATTCTCCCCGACAGCTCGAATGCCATTCCGCTTTCCACAAATTAAGAATCTAAATTCTTATCTATACTCCATTAAAGTCAGCCCTTCCCCGGGGCATAGCGGGAGCTTAGTGCACCAGGCTGTCCTTTTTTTACTCCATTAAAGTCAGCAAAAAATGTGCTTTCCATCGAATAACGGGGAGTCATCTCCTTTTTATATTCATCTTTGTTTGGACGATTACCATTCCTTTTATTCGTCATGCTTGTATAATTTCCTGTGATGCAATATTTATCCTCTCTTCCTGGCATCAAGCAGGAGAAAGAATGTAAGAGTCTACACTTTCCTTGGTGGAAAGAGATCTGCTATGCAGTTGAAATATTGAAATTGAAAATTGACTTGAGTATTTTTCTAGTGTACGTGTTTAGCATGTTTCATCGTGTTCTGGATGGCTAAGGCTGTTCATAATTCTGTAAAAACCAAATGAGATGAACCGAACTTTCAGTTTGGTTCTGGTAATTTGGTAATCCGGTTCAGTTCTTGATTTGCATCTGAAAAATTCGGTAATTTGGTAACAAACCGAGAAAACCTGCCCAATACCTGCTCTACTATTTGTGTATCAGAAAATATTTTTGGGGCTTCTTAAAAAGTTCCATGCATTTCTTGATGCCGTATGGATGGTAGCTTTACCTAGTGGTGTTAATTAACCATATTTCTCTTTTACACATATTATACAGGCCAAGCATGTGGTTTCACCATGTTAGACAGAGCCCAGACAGTAGAGGACTCACCATTGCTGTAAACTACTGTAAGAATCTTAAATACCAGCCTATTTAACAAAAACTGAAAGGAAGAAAAACGGACAGAAAAAGAAAGCCTTTTCTCATCTTTGTTCTTTCCTTTCCAAGGGTAATGGTAACTAAACTGCTGTTTGTTGGACAGGGTGTGACATGCGATTTGATATCAAATATGCTTACTTCAACTTCCTGCAATCACTGCCTCATTCCATGCTGTGCAATCCTGCATCATCTGGAAATTTACTTGTGGAGTCACAATGCCATTCATCTATGGGAAACTCTGGAGAGGAATCCAGCATCACTGCTTCAGCCAATGATGACTTATTACAGGATTCTAATGACGCTGCAGAAAAGTAAGCATCGCATGCTGTCAGGAGCCCTATGGTGAGAAGCAAGGAAATTTCTAGTTCTTTGAGATCCAATACTGCAAGCATCCTTTTGTTTCCGCTTGCTGAGTGTTTTCAACATGAGATGGGAGAAGCTCAAATGAGCATTTCACTTCATGATTGCCCCCGGGTTTGCATCTCTGGTTTAGTCAGCTAGGGAGATTCTTCAATGTGCCATTTAATATCCAGAGCAACAGTGTCAGTGATGGAGGTTCAGGTGCCATATTCTTTAGAGATTTGCCAGTGTATTTATATGATCCACCTTCTCCTGTTCTGTGTCATCCTTTTACTTAATGCTTCCGTAATCTGCTATTGAAGCTTTGCTTACATGTTCCGCTTATCAGTAAGGGAAGGTCAACCTGATCCGATTAAAGGAAGCCATCTTCTTGAAAAGGCATGCACTTTATAGGATTTATTCTTTCAAGCCTTGGCAATCATCAGTTATCGGGTAGAGTGGCATTAGGATGGTTCCTCAAGAGACAAAAGCCACAGCTCATGGTTGTTGCCATAAATTGGAGGAGAGTGTACTATTTTGCGTTTATAACAAAAGTGCACGAATCACATTCCGATATTAGACTATCTCTTGCTTGCTTCTTTACTGATTCTCTGGTATAAATGTGCCTTTGGATTGCGTTAATGGAACATTTGTTTCTCGGAGAAGGAAAATTGGAAAATTCCAGAGCTGGAATACTTGTTAAGATTTTTGTGTGGGTTGTGGCCAGAAGAAAAAATTGGAGTTGATACTGACATTTGAAATGTGGCATAATTCATCATTTTACACCTTTCACTCATGGTCTGCCGAACTGCTTATTATCCTTCAAATTAATTTTAGCTTCAAAACCACACATTTTTTCTTCAATTAAAGTTTTTTAGTTGGTGTAATCATGTCTCATGAGGTTACAATTTGTCCAATTCTGCCCACTGCTAAAATGGGAGATGGGAGGATTTGTTTGCTGAATAGCTGTGTTTTGTACATATGCAGTATAGTTATTCGACTCCATAATTCATCATATAATATTGCTGAAAATTGTCTTGTTCAAAGTGATTGCATATCTCCTCATCATAAAATTGCATTACTCTCTATATACGCACGCATTTCTTATATATTCTACTTCCGAGATTCAAGAACACTTGAAGAAAGCAAAGCAGTAATAAAATTTATTATCCAACTTTATTTTAAACAATAGAAAATATATGAACATCCACATAATGTAATAAAAGAGCTTAGTTATGGATTTAATGTACATGAGATTCGTAGGAAGTTTGATATACATACAAAAGGGAAGTAAAGATTCGTCCAACCAAATTGCTTGCTTTATATTTGACGACTCTTGAGTATGATTTGGAATACAATTTAGTAGCCTCATTTTTGTGGAATTCACATAGAATACAACTTATTTTAAACTTATTTAAATACTACTTTCTCGATACGTGCGTTGCACGCATATTCCAAGCCATGTAAGAAATAATTTTTTAAAATAATATTAATATTATTAGAACAAAGATTTGAGTAAAATATTATGCATAAAAAGATAAAGTATATGTTTATGCGAATGATCAATATGGATAATTACTTGTTGTCGATGCCAAAAAGATTGTATATTTTTTGATTTTACGAAGATAAACAATTAAAGTTTAGATAGATGCACGTGATTCTTTTACTTATTTTATTTTATGGTGTGATGACCCAAAAGGTCATCTCGTGTTTTAGAATCCAATTCGGGGTTCCGAAGCCTTCAAAACCTCATTTTTTCTCGATTTGTGTGCGCAGTCCGGACACGTTTCCGAAAAACCTTTATGTGAGAATTTGAGAAAATACTAAGTTTTGCCTTTAAAATTGATTTAGCTTGATTTCGGTCAACATTTTGAGTAAACGGGCCCGGGCCCGTATTTCGACGGTCCCGGAAGGTCCGTAGTAAAATATGGGACTTGGGCTTATGCCCGGAATTGAATTCCGAGATTCCTAGCCCGAGAAATGAATTTTTGAAGAAAATTGTTAAATTGAAAATATTATGGTTTTTAGAAATTGAATAATGGTTGGTCTTGTTGGTATCAGGCCCGTATTTTGGTTTCGGAACCCGGTATAAGTTTAATATGGTTTTAAGTCCTGCCTGTGAAATTTGGTGAGAAACAGAGTTTATATGACGTGATTCGGACCCTCGGTTGTAAAAATAGAAACTTTAAGTGTTCTTGAGATTTTCATTGATTTTGATGCTAAATCTGTAGTTTTGGGTGTTATTTTAGCGATTTGATCGCCCCCGCAAGTTCATATGATGTGTTAAGACTTGTGTGCATGTTTGGTTTGGAGCCCCGAGGGCTCGGGTGAGTATCGAATAGGCTACCGGATGTCTAGGCTTAGAAAAGACCTGGTGTAGGATAGTTGCAGAGTTGCAGGTCTCTGAACCTAGGAGTGCGGCCACGCTGGAAAATTCGTGGACCGTGGTGGGATTTTGCGACCGCGGTGGAGGGCTTCGCGGACCTCGGTGGGTAAGGCCAAATTTATGCGGCCACGCCCATTAATTCGCGGACCGACCGCAGCTTCGCGAACACGACAGACCTCTCGCGAACGCGATTAAGGTCTGTCCAGTGTTTTAAAATCAGAACCAAAGATGGGATTTCTTCAAAATTTCATATCTCTTCCATTAAAACTCAAACTAGGGAGATTCTTGAAGAGGGATTTCAACACCAAATCATAGGTTTGTGTTCTTTAACCCATTTTCATCAACACCCATTAGATTTCTAGCCCTAAATCTTGTCTTTCATGGTAGAAATTAGGAATTTTGGTAGAATTGATTTTTTTTTTGCAATTTGGGGATTTAGATCTCGATTTGAGGTTGGATTCTGAAACTAATGATATATTTGGGCTCGGGGTTAATTGAGTGAATGAGTTTTGTTCCGAACCTCGAGTTTTGATCAAGCGTGCTCGATGTCGATTTTTGACTTTTGGAAAAAATATTACTTATAATTATGCATCGGAACTGATTTCTTTAGCGATAATTGATGTTATTAAGTTAACTATGACTAGATTCTATCGATCCGGAGGCTAGTGTGAAGGGAAAAGCGGTATTTGAGCTTTGAATTAGCCGTTGGAGCGAGGTAAGTGTTGGGTCTAACCCTGGCTTGAGGGATTAGGTATTATTTGCTTATTTGCTATGTGTTTTGATGTTGAGTGCAATGTATAGGTAAGGTGACGAGTATCTATGCGTTGTTGTCGGGTCATAACATGCGAGTTAGTCTCATTCTTGTAACTGTTGTACGTTTTGATCATATATTTCACGTTTAGACTTGTTATTAGATTTGTTTAGCAACTCTTATCATGTTTTACGGAATTTGGTATCGATTGAGTATTGACTCAGAGTTAAAACTGGTATTGTGGAATGAATGTGAAGTAAGACTGGTTCTTGATATCTTCTATCTCCCTGTTGTTATTGTTCATTGTTTTGATAAGGGAGAGTGTTAAAACACGAAGAGTGATGTCGTACAATATTTTGTGAGTGAGTGATAATGCAGGAAGGGTGATGTCGTGCCATATTCTGTGAGTGATAGTGCACGAAGGGTGATGCTGTGCCATATTCTGTGAGTGTTAATGCACGAAGGGTGATGCTGTGCCATATTCTGTGAGTGTTAATGCACGAAGGGTGATGTTGTGCCATGTTATGAGAGAGTTAAAGCACGAATGGTGATGTCGTGCCGTTTATATTGTTGCTTATGGCGAGGATGAGAGTAAAATCACGAAGGGTGATGTCGTGCACTTGTTTTGCTATATTTATTACTTTCATCGGTGCAAGCATATTGTTTACTGCGTTCCTTTATTGTTACTGTTTCCATAACTTTATTTCTCCCCCTCAGCATGTTATCCCCTTTCCCGTTATCAACTACGTAATTTCTACTTGTTGTTATTTTCTCGTATATGATTTAATTGCATAGGTTCATGTTATTGTCGTGTCCTAGCCTCGTCACTACTTTGTCGAGCTTAGGCTCGACACTTACCAATACATATGGTCGGTTGTACTGATGTTGCACTCTGCACATTCTGTGGAGATTTTTGTACCGGTCCGAGTTGGAGTGCTCCCTTCAGTCCTACAGGAGACCCAAGGTAGATCTGCCGGCGTTCGCAGACCCTGGAATCCCCTTCCAGTTATTTTAGTTCACTATTTTCACCTTAATTCAAAGACAACTGTATTTTTCTTTCAGTCAATGTTTATAGTGACTCTTAGAAGTTTGTGAATTGTGACACCAGATTTTAGGGGTAGTTATGTTGAGATATTTTGATAATTATAAACTTTCGCTTTTCATCAAATTGTTATGTCTTAAATTATTGTCATTTAGCAAATCGTTTAAAGAGTAGCGTATTTAATTTTATATGTGGCTTGCCTAGCAATTGTAAGGTTAGGTGCTATCACGATCCCGACGGTGAGAAATCCGAATCGTGACAAGTTGGTATCAGAGCCCGGTACCGATCCCCTAAACTTTACGAAGCCTGTTCGTGAATTGTGAGACTTCACGAACCCGTCAAGCCAACAGATACAGTTCTAACACTTAATCATAAACCAAAACAGTAATTAACAATGATTTAAACTAAACAAATATGAAGTGCAGAACTTTTATAACAGTTTAAAACACTAATACAAGACTACCCAAAAGATCTGGTGTCACAATCTACGAACTTCTAAGAATTTTCTACAGATACTGGTTTAAAAGAAATACATTTGTCCTTAAAATGAAAGAAAACGGAAAAACTAAGATAGAGGGAAAGGGACTCCAGGGTCTGCGAATGTCGGCTGATCTACCTTGAGTCTCATGTGGACTGAAGGCAGCAACCAACTCTAATCACGAGGTCCGACACCGAAATCTGCACAAAAAGTGCACAGTACAGTATCAGTACAACCGACCCCATATATTGGTAAGTGTCGAGCCTAACCTCGGCGAAGTAGTGACGAGGCTTGGACACGACAAAAACATGAACCTGTGCAGTTAAATTATATACGAGAAAACAATAATAATGGAAATCTAACAGATAATAACGGGAAAGGGGGAAAACATGATAAAGGGAATGCCAAATTCTGAAAATATTACAGTACAGAAACATAGTAAATATCATGCTTTGAACCAACGGAAATAATAACATAGTAACATGTGCACGGCATCACCCTTCGTGCTTTTACTCTCGTCCTTACCATAAGAAACAACAGAAACGACACGGCATCACCCTTCGTGTATTAACTCTCTCATAACATGGCACGACATCACCCTTCGTGCATTAACTCTCTCATAACATGGCACGACATCACCCTTCATGCATTATCACTCACTCACAAAACATACACGACATCACCCTTCGTGCTTTACACTCTTCCTCACCCAAAGAGCAGAAACAATAGCAACCCAACAAGGGAATCATCATTAAACAGCCTCGTTTCAATATTTAACTTCACAATATAAATCTCGACTTGAGTCAATACTCAACAAATATTCAATACCAAGAAAACATAATAAGACTTGTTTAACATAAAGAATAACCAGTTTAAGCATGAATAGTTCGTATAAAGAAATACAAGTCACAAGTATAAAATTCACTCGCATGCTATGAACCGACAACAACGTATATATACTCGTCACCTCACCTATACGTCGTACTCAACAACTAAACATGTAGCAAATAAGGAAACAATACATACTCCCTCAAGCTAAGGTTAGCCACAACACTTACCTCGATTCCACAACCGATCTCAAAGCTCAATCACAGCTTTTCCTTTCACACAAGCCTCCGAACCAATAGAATCTAGCAAATTACCAACCAAACGATTCAATTTAAGCCTTAGGACCACGATAACAAGGAATTCAATTTAGGTCATTTTTGAAAAAGTCAACACCCGTGCCCGCTTGGTCCAAATCCGAAATTCGGATCAAAACCCGATTACTCATTCACCCCCGAGCCCGGATATACAATTGGTTTTGAAATCCGACCTCAATTTGAGGTCTAAACTCCCAAATTTTG